GATTATTTAATTGGATAAAATTATATGCAAAAATGTTTATTTATTGTAATTAAAGCTAATTAAATTCAATATGGGCTTTTAATCAAAGTTTCCTGAAATTCAAACTCAAAAAAAGATTTAATGCCCATTCCTATATTAATTATATTAATTCGATGTTAGTTTAGTTTAGTTAATTAGTTAGTTAGTTTAAAAAAACCATTAACATATTTCTTAGAATAATTAGAGTAATTAAACAATTTATAATGTTGAAAAGGATGGATGAAAGAATTTGATAAGTTCTAATCTGACGAAAGAATTTAATAAGCTTTAATCTGACGAAAGAATTTGATAAGCTTTATTCCGATGAAAAAATTTGATAAGCTTTAATCTCTTACCTCTTTAATTATAATCTCAACTTGTTAATTTTGATATTAATTATATTTATTCTATGTAAATTCAATTCAGTCAACTATTTCAGTAAACTGTAAAATCTGGAATGATTTGTTGGAATGTACGACGTCCTTGAATGATTCATCAAATTTACAACAATATCGTTCTATCATTTTATATTATTTTAATCGCTTTCAATTATAAATTACCCATTCTATCTTTGCATAACTTTTTTTCAAAAATCCATTTTAATTAATATTGATTTTTTAAACATTGTTATTTTTAATAGTATACTTTGGCTGGCAATAATTTTATTTACATTCTTATTCTTTTGTTAACTTCTTCTTCTTCGTTGTCAAAATAATATTATCATGATTTCTTTCTTATTTGCAAAAGAAGAAGAAATATTTTTGAATTTTAAAATTGACAGGTTTCATCTGGAACAAAGATTATTTTTGGAAAAAAAAATTGTTCAAAAATTTGATCTCTCTCTCTCTCTCTCTCTCTCTCTCTCTCTCATTTTTTAATTCATTAAAAAACAAAAAAATTATTACAAACCTGTTGCATGGCATTAGTTACAGTTGATTCGACAAGATTACGATGTATTATAATAAATGCATCATCAGCAAGGAATAACTTCTCATCATTATGCTCAATATAATTTGCAACATAACCACGTACAGAAATGATAAGCCGTGACCACCAAATTTTTGCTAATTGATTACGCATCTAAAATTTTGTATTACAATTAAATCATTTAAGTTCATATTAAAATAAACTTTTTTTTTATTATTAATCTAAATCAGCTTTATTAATTTTAATGATAATTAAAATACTAATTAGCTTTCTTAATTATATTAATGATAATTTAAATACTAATTAGCTTTCTTATTTATTTTAATGATAACCAAAATACTAATTAGCTTTCTTATTTATTTTAATGATAATTTAAATACTAATTAGCTTTCGTATTTATTTTAATGATAATTAAAATACTAAATAGCTTTCTTATTTATCTTAATAATGATTTAAATACTAATTAGCTTTATTATTTATTTTAATGATAATCAAAATACTAATTAGAAAATTAATGATAAAAGATATGAAAGATGATAACAATATGATAACGATTCGATTAATGTGTAAAAGAATAAATACCTAAAATGAAATGAAATTTTTATTAAATTTTAAAAACATAAAAAAAACATATCTGTTGAAATTCATTTGGTAAAAATTCTGCAATCGGTGATTTAGGCAATATCAATTGTTTATTTTTCGGGAATAATTCTAAATCTTCCATTGAAATAGGTAATAACATTGTTAATAAAGTAAATTGCAGTAATAATAATAATTAATGATAATATCGATAATTGTCGTTTCTTTTGTTTATTTCCACACTAAATAATCAACAATACAAAAAAAGTAATTAATAAATCGTTTGTTCATTACACGATGAAATTTTTGGTAAGATAACAACGATTGAGAGAAATAAGTTCAAAGGTAAGATTTTCGATCAGTATCATCAGTTACAAAAATTACATCGAACTATTGGCATCGATGCGCTTCAATGACAAAGCGGAACTGTCGCCAAACGTCTTCAAACGGGTCATGACAAGAAATGTATAGCAATCAAAATGACAAACAGACATGCGCATTCAAAAATACACACAGAGTTAAAACGTCAAATTTCATAAAAATCCTACCATGATGACTCATCATTATTGTTTTAAATGATCAATGATTAATATGTTTATTTATATCCGATTATTATTATTTTCTTTCAATTATGCAATCTATCGAATCTGTTATTTGTATATGGCTAATGATATCACTATAGCAATAAAGACTATTTATTATGATTAACAGATGACAAAATAATATATCTCATGTTCGTTAATCGTTATTATAATGATATATGATAAAAAATAAATCTCGTATTCATTAATCGTTATTATAGTGATGTATACTTTAATCATAATTATTAACACACACACACACACACACACACACATACACACACACATATGTGACAGATTCGATAGCTTGCAATATTGGAAGATAAAATAACAGGGTAAAATAAGATATACAGATTGCTAATCGAAGAATTAAATTGTCTCAAAATATTAAACTAACGTTTTGTTCATTTAGCTTCCTTTGTTAGAATAATACGCTTCGTTTGTTAAATGATTGTTAAATGTTAAATTGACCCTTACTAAATTTAGTTCACTCTTTTTTCAAAGGATTATGTTAGCGTACTTTTTTGTTAAATGTTAAACTGATCTTTTTGTTCACTAAGAAGAAATTGTGGTTTTGGATTTGATGTAGGACTATTAAAATGACTGTAAATAGTATGCCTTCCATACTATCAAAATCGATATCAGTACTATCAGCAATACTACCAATAGTACTACAAATTAGGAACGATTACATCCGTGACATTCTCTTTTAATTATCCCATAACGTTCACACAAGAATAAATCCCTTCGTTAACCAATTAACCTGTATCCAAACATATTTATCTGTATAAATTAAACTGTCAACTCAAGAATCTTTTAAGAAAACTTCAAAATGAACAGTTGCTATTTTCGAAAGCAAATATAATCATTTACAAATATACTAAACTTTTCAATATTTGATATTATTTGTTAAATCTTTTTTGGAATATCAAGACTGATGAATTTTGAACGTTTAGCATACTTTTTCATAAAGCTGCTAAAACACTTCATTTCAACTTAATAGGTTCTATCTCGAAAAATTTTTTGCTATGAGGTTACGAAAAAGTAAACATGGAAAGATGATTGCCATCGTCCCGATGATTCGTAAATACATTAAGAACGAAAGAAAACAAATATGATCGAATTTAGAATTAAATTTTACTTGATAAATACCAAGTATTTGTGGATTAGAAATGCTTGATCAAATATATCGGTACTTCATTTCATTCTATTTCTTTCATGTCTCCTACTATTCTAATAAACTTTTACTTTATTATAAATCAATCATCAGTATTTCGAACACAAATACCAGCAATTGAACACCCGAGTCATTCTTTATTTTCTTTCAAATGCATTACATTTGTAGTCCTATATTAAATCTAAAACCAGAGAATGCAAAGCTGCATTCTATCAGAGCATACATTCATAAATTAAAATAAACTTTTTGAGTTGACAATTTTCTAAATTATGATCAAAACTAGTTTTCATCCTTTTCAATACAATTAGATGCTCGAAGCTGGTTTCTAAAATTTCTTTACCGTAATACCTGAATAGAAATGATACAAAAAACAATTAAATACATCTTTGGAATCATTGCAAGCCGCATATAAAAAATCACATCAGAATATAAATTTCAAATTCCACTTTAAATTACGTATTATCTTTCCGGAATACTAATAACACTTTTGCTTTGATTAAAAAAAAGCAAAACTGTGAAAGCACGCTGCTAGAAACTTTGAAACAAAAAGACTACCCTTAATTCATATATCTGATCCCGATTTTGAGATGAATTGTCATACTGCGAACCTTCGTTGTTTATCAGAGATCTTCTGGAATTCTGCGGTGGGAATGCTACATAATTTAGAAGTATATCTTTAAATCACAATGTCTAGTCACTGTTTGACAGTCTTGGAATTACATATTGTCTTTTATTCACTAATTACAGCTAAAGTGATAACTGATAAAAATTAAAAGCAATCATTAAAATGTTTCCATGCATTAGCGCTGAACGTCCGAGATGACTCGATCAAATATTTAAAACGAAAATATCTGAGATAATATTAATAAGCGTATCACGCCAAAAGATGATAATATTGAAAATGTACTTGTCCAATGCACTTCGCAAAAAGGAAGAGCATGGGATGAACAATGACAACTGTAAGATAACGTATATCATTTACGTGATAAATTACATTCCTATCAAAAGATTAAGGGATGAGTGGAAAATGTACTTTTTCTCAAAAACGAGTAAAAGAACTGGATTTATATGACTTAAAACGAATGAATACTAAAGCAAAAAATAATCAGTAGCATTGAAGCAAAGAGACAGATATAAAAGATGAGATCAACCCCATCAGATACCTTATTTAAACTTTTTTTTATTATTAACCGGGAAAGAATACACTTAAGAACAGCTAAGCAAGATTCCGAGTTTATTTCAATATTGAGAATGCATTTCATTCATTCTCAAACGCATTTAAAAAATAAAGGAAAACATATAATTAAGCAAGAAATGAAACAAAATTTATTACAGTCTATGTTTTTCAGACATAATTTTACGATATAATTTTAATCAAATCAAAAATAACTGAAAAAAATGTTTGAAAACAATCTTCTACTAGTTTCTTGATACACGAATAATTGCTACACGGTAAAATGCAGTTCTTGAGCGCACTGAGGTCTGAAAAATTTCATAAAAACGGATTGAATATCAGAGGTTTATCCGTCATAAAGTGCTCTGTCATTTATGGATTCAAAGGTTGCATTCTGGAAATTCTCCATTCTTCGTTTTTACTTATTATAACAAATTTACTTATTATTGTAAAATAATAAAAAACTTATATAAAATATTTATTATAAAAAAATAAAAAACAACTTTATTTATTATTATAAAATAATAAAATAAAAAATTCACGGTTAAGAAGTACGACCAGAAAAACCATTATCCACCAGGATCTGACGCGCCAAATTACAAATATGTCGAAATCGATCCGGTCCAAGATGTATACCTCCGTACCAGCGAGTAATGATCACTAGTACGTTTTTTGCTTTCATCAATTCCAATAAGTTTAATAATTTCGCACCTGCACCGATCTCACCATCATCCTAAAAATATATTCAAGATCTTAGAATTATGAGCATAAGTTATGAAGGTTGGTATCGAAAATACTCAGGTCCGCTACAAATTTTTCTAAACTACTACTCTTATAATTAGTCCATCTTCAGCTATGAACATCTAAAAAACTCAAAGTGCTGAAATCAAAGCGTAAAAAAACTAAGTCAAAAAACTACTTCACAATCGTGCTGTTTTATCAAACGGCCATTTACATTTTCTTCAGTTAACCATGCATACATATTGTGTGTTGCCTTTGCAATTTTGTTGTTTTCTTTCAACTTATTCAGCACAAGGGTTACCTGCAAAATGCAGAAAGAAAAGTTGTGATGAACAAATTGAAAAGCGCTTCAAAACAGCCAGGCATAAACGTGTGTCACGTTTTCTGGTAATTGAAATTTGCTGTATTCCGCAATTCAGGTTTAAAATTAAATAAATGCAACTAGTTTGGCGTTCTGAAAGAAGCTGATGCCAGTTCATGATCACATGTGGATTATCCAAAAAAGTTGAAAATATGTATCAAAAGAAAGGTAAAATTCACTTCTTCCCGGGAAAATACTTGTGCAACATGCGCTTGAAATGTGCTTTTCCGATCTACCAATGAATTGCCACTGATTATGGTTGGAATGCACCGTTGAGATGATGGTGATGAAAGAGCTGTATTAGTTGGTGGAGATTCATCATTATCAACTGATTCCGCCTTGAAACTACCATCAAAACTAGCTAAATAGTCGTTCACGTATGTAATCCACTCGTACAAAATTGGCTGGCCAACATTTTTTGCATAAATTTCATTCATCGAATTTTTCATCTCTTCTTTCTGGATTTCTGTTAACGATGGCCCGCTAAGTTCGAAATATGGCGGTGAGCTGAAATTCAAAAGTCATTTATAGTTGCACAATGCGATCAATAGTCGTGTCATGACAAAATTGCTCATTCAAAAAAGTTGACAATTTTTTGGCCCTCGCAATTCTTAATGCGCAAATACCCACTAGTAAATTCAGCAAAAACAGGTTTAGATGCGGAATACAGAAGATGGATACGGACTAAATGATTACTTCAGGATATCTTCGAAGTACACAAGTCACCTAACTCCCACAGTCTATCTAGAGTGTCACTGCAAACAATTGAACGTTCTAAAAATCGTCATTCCTTCTTCGAGGAATGAAACAGATCAACTAACGTAATAATATAAAATCTTAGTTACCATTAAAAGAATAGTTCTATATGCATTCAGATAAAATTTTACCTTGTTGGGTAATGTTTAGGAAGACAAATAGTTAGCTGTACATCATTGAATCGTATACTGAGTTGTGAAGACGATTCGAGATGAATCAAATCACCATATATTGACTCGATAGATTGAATTTCTTCAAGTTGTGCTTTTCTATCACCTTCACCCATTCACGCCGTTTTCCTGTCTATACGGTGACCGTTTACCATATCACTATTATGCATAATATTGAAATCTAGAATTTGAAAAATTATATAAAACTTTCAAAAAAAAAAAAAATGAATAAGTTAAACGAATTCATCATAAATGAAGGGATAATTAGTGACACATATTGGCCAAATATATGCGTAAATGTATAGCGTATCACGTGCTACGTGCACGAATCACAGATTATATCAATATACCTACAACGGATAATGAGAACATTCCAAACAGGCGAGAAGTCGAATCGTGAAATAAATTTCATTCGACACGCTATGCAACGACTTCAATCCTATACCATTTTTTAATAGTATTTCAATAAATAAATAAATAAATCAGCTAAAGATAGGGAAAATATCAAGTAACAAGCAATCTTCTAAAAAAATGATTCAGATTTACCATAAAGTTAAATGAATCGAAATAAGTAATTACTTAAACTAAATAAATGACAGTAAATAAATTAAATAACAGCGATCGTTACGAAATTTCATCGTTAACTTCAAAATGACATAAATACCACAGAGTATATGAATCTGTTAGCTTTTTTATTTAGCAAAATATATTGCGCTTATGAAAAATTCACCAATGCATAAATATATAATTGCTGACTTTTAAAGTGACACGAATGTAAGTTTGTCATTACTGTAAAGTTCACTTTTACAGTAATGACAAATTATCACAAATGCTAACTTATCACAAGTGAAAATTTATGAGATAAAAAATATGTGTTCGTTGACTCTATAGGGTAGCGATAATATGGAAAAACTCAAACTTTCTAATTTATCTTCGTAGAAATACGGAATTTTAACAAGTTGCTAATGTGAATATGCAAATTCCTTGTCTTCTAAAGTTACACAAACTTGCATTTGTGATAAAAATTAGCATAAATGTCATATTTCGTGCTTTTTGAAAAACTGCAAATATTTCAGTGAAAAATAAATAAATCTGCTAAATGTAAGAAAAAAGGAATCAAACAAATAATCCTTTTAAAAAAATGATTCATATTTCTTGTTAAGTTAATAATTTGAAATAAATAAATAAACAAATAATAAATTTGTTCTTCTATATTAACTCATAAAGCATCAGTTTTTAATGCTCAAAAAAAACGTTAAATTTAGCTTACCTGAAATTGAAATTGTGCTAAGTCAACAATGCGACAACTATGTGTTTGTTGATCTTGCAAATACTTAAATAGTAAAATCAAACATCTGTTATTAGAAGAAATGGAATTGATGGAATCATTGGAATAATTTAATTGAATGTCTTTAACGATAGTTGGAATAACTTTCTAATAAATAGTTATGTTATTCTATTTATTACTATAAATTCAACTTCAATAATAACACTTACATCAAAAATTAATTTAATGCAAAAAGAATTTTTTTAAATTCAGCATTGATTTTTATTTTACAAGGAAATCAATCGATAGTATGATATGATATGTGAATGCAAATTAATTGTTGTTAAAATCAATGCTGAACTATTGATCAATATTTCTTTTATCATATTTTCTCTGTATTAATTTAACATATCGTATAATTTAGCAAATTATCATATCAATAAAACATTCGAAAATTTTTGTATAGAAAAATATATTTGGGAGTTTAAGTTCAAAAAACTAAAAATGTGAAATTAAAGTTTTATTTTGAAATATTAAAAATGCAACTTCATGGATTATTTATGCAGAAATAAACGATTAAAACAATAGCTATTTTTAATAATCTAACTGGAAAGAATCAACTAATAGTTCAAGACATTTCATAATCTTTAAAAAAAAAAAACAATAAGAAATTATTGACAATTATTCATTTTAGTGATATTTTTAGGCTATTGACTAACAGACAGAATCAATCAATAATTACTATATTTAACTATTAACATCTATTGTAATGTAACAATTATCAATATATGGTAAAATTTTATTCAAATATTATCATGAATGAAAAAGAAAATTGAAATTTCTACAATTTCAATAATATTTCCATCAATGACAAAAAAATTTGAAAAAAAAAAAAAACAGGCATTTGAATACAACGTATACATTTGAAAAACACGTGATGATACCGATTTTAGGTGGAAAGAAAGGATGATAATTGATTCATATCAAAGAATGATAATGATTCATAGGATAATGATTCATACTTTATCACATTATTGATATCTGATTATTATTTTATCAAATCAAAATGTTTTTTTTTATATTAAGGAACTAAAAGACAAAACAGATATAACTTCGTTAGAAATCATAAACAGTAAATCTAACACCGTATCAGATATGCATCTGCTCAAATAAATTTGAAAATTTTTGATTTACTAAATAAATAAATCATAAAAGATAAAGATTTTTACTATTGGGCGAATAAGTAACTAAATCTGTCAGCATATATATATATATATATTGATATTTGTTAGGTTAAATTTATGATAATTTATGTAAATTATAAAAATTTAATACTATGAAAAATTTTATTAAATGAGGTCATAATTGTTTATTAGTTGAAATAGGCTTAATAGCACTGTAATAAGTAAGTAAAAAGTTTTTCACTTGGTTATTATTAAAATATCCTTCTTTTCGACAGGTACTACACAAAAAATCAGATGGAAATTGCCGTTTTGGAAATTCCGGATCTTCTGTATCATCACCACGAAGGCGAGCATTAACGATATTATGTGCTTGCCACAAATACATGAACACATCTTCCGGATGATGCACCTAAAAAATCTCTAATGCAAAAGATTCATGCTAAAACTCTACAAATTCGGCTAAGGTACCACAGATAGATTTCCTTTCTAAATAGACCATTCTTTTTTTTTGTTATCCTTATCATATCCTAAAAGTGAAATGGATGAATTTTATGGATAAATGCAATTATCTCTTTTCAAATTTATCTACTCATTTTGCTTCTTAGATGTATTAGCTGAAAAAGTGTATTCTTTTTTAAATTTCTTTATTTTAGAGTATAAATCGTTTGGTACTTCAACGTTAGCAATATATGTTTGCATGCTTTCGACATAAATTAAAATAACAATACAAAATCTAAGTTGTGGAAAAACGAAACTTCTAGAAAGATTTTATTTTCATTAAATTTGCTATTTATGTAAATAATTTTTGAATTACACAAATCTTAGGATTTTTCTTTATTTATTCGAATTTGATTACTTAATGAAATAATTATATATTTCAAAAGAGAACACTATTATTAATTCAAATTTAGTTCTTAAAGGTATTTTAAGGTTGTATCCTAAGCATTGCAAACTTTATTACTATAAGAAATGATATTGAAGAAATAGCTGACTTTACTTTCCATACTAAATGTTCGTGTTGTCATCCGAAGAAAATGTTCACGACAATGTTGACAACCGAAAAAATGATTCACCCAATTTCGAATTGCTATTAATGGAGTTATTGGAACAAATTTTGAATCTAAAAAAGCATCATTTCCAAGTATTCATTGAATATGATGATATTCTTGAATTGTTGAGTTGAAGATATTTTAACTGTCATAATGATAATAACAGTCATAATAATATTAATAATGATAATAATAAAAACTGTAATAGTAATAACAATAAATAATGATAATGATACGACTTATAACCTCATTTGCAATATATAAGTATATGATATAGATTAAAAACAAACAAATAGTTAATACTTCTAACCATTCAAACCATTTTTATAGGCTTGAAGAGTAAGCGCATGAAATAATGTCCACAGACCGCAAGTATAGCCTCGAAATTTTGGATTTGATCCCGCACAATGCTCCCAATCACTGTTAACAGGAAATGGATGATTGTATTCTTCCTGAAATTATTTCATCAATAAAAAATTTATCAAAATGATCAAATTTTTTATCACTAAATATTTATCATATCATTTATAAATTACTCTCTTATCATATAATTCTAATATTTTATTTATTAATACAATTTTTCTTGTAAAATCAAGCGATAAATGAAAGAATGATTCATGTAGTTCATAGTTATCTTATCATTTCTTATCACACAATTACTTTTTGATTTCCATTTCAATTTTAATTTTTTAATTATTATTATAAATGAAAAGAGAAAAGATTGGTACTTCTAAATTTAGGAATTTTTCCTTATACTTCTCTATTGGAATCACATCTTGCAGCTCACTTTCGTCAATATAATCGCGCATTTTCTTGAATATATTAACTGCTCGTTTACTATTCAATAATTGCTATAATATAAAAATTCGATAGCACAAATTAATTTGAAAACAATCAAATTAATTCTCATTAAATTAATTATGTAAAAAATAATATTAATTTAATAAATACTATCAGATCTTTTTGAACAATGGGGATTAAATTAAGGGAAGAAAATTTAAATCAAAATTTTTTACATTTCATTTTTTTTGAATTACATTTATTTTACAAATTTTTATTCCATCAAATATAGCAAAATTTTTATCAGTCATTATCATAATTAATTAATTCATTGTTCTTAATGTATGCAATAATAATTTACCTTATTTTCATCACTAATATCATGATAAATTGTTGTGGTCGGTAAATTCTGAAATAATATTTGTTAACTAAATTTTCAATTTAATTATTTTGTTTTTGAAACCTTTCTATAAAAATTTAAATTCTAAATACATTAAAATATGAATGATTAAGGTAAAACTAAAAAGTATATATAAAATTAGTAATAAATTTTCAAAATTATATACTCTTAAATTAATACTTAAATATTCCGAGAATAGATTATGAATGAATAAATACTCTCATAAATATCCAAATTAATTAATATCTGAGCAATTGTGGTATATTCTAATTTTTGTTTACAAATAAATAATTTAATTATCTAAGGATAATTTTTGAAAAAAAAAATTGGAATATCTATTTTGAATGCATAATATAAAAGAGAAATATATTGCTGAAAGAATGCAATACTTTTATCTAATTAAACTAAATTACCATTTCAGATTATACTAAAATGCTAATTACGATAAGTATCAGTAACCTTAGCAAGTATATCCAAGAAATCACGAATAGCTGTTAGATTATTACCGGCAAGATATTTACCATTTCTTGTTACTTCATCAAATATCGCATATCGTATAGCTTTCAATATATCTGTTTCTGATGCGAAATACCTCTGCCGACATCTACACGAATTATTACAAATATTTCAGAATAATTTAAATTTATTTTTCTGGAAAATTCTTTTTTTCAGTATTTCAAAAAACCTACTTCGCAGGATCTTTTTCACAAAGTGATCCATTCTGTATAATATTTTCTTTCGTTTCATTTTTGTTATTTTCACTGATCAAAAATCTTTCCAATTCATTGAACAATAATCTTCGTAATCTAAAAAACTTTCACATTATTAAATTTTAGGAATTGAAATTTTCATAGTTTAGTGAATATTAATACAGTCTAATAAAAAGAAGCATTGAATTCAAAAAAAAAGTTCTTAGTTATTATTTAATATTTTAGATAAAGATATATATATATAATATATTTATACATATAGGAAATAACTTTGAAGGATTTCTTGGAATTAAATTTAAAGTCTAAAGAAAGAGAACTTAGGAAGTAATTTTAAAACTTAGTAAATACAAGTTTTAGTTTAATTTTAAATATAAGTTTTTAGATTAATTTTTAAATTATTCTTTCGAAAATATTAGAAATTGATATATGATTATTTTATTAATTAAAGTATCGTATGCTTTTTGTAATATAAATTACGAGGAATTTTAATATAATATTTCGGTAATGTTGTAAAATTTCAGATCCAATAAATGAACTTCAATTATTAGAATGAAAATTAAATTAATAGAAGTTGAAATGAAAAATTCTCACTCAGCAACAAGTAGTGGTTTTATCTGTTCACGTTTAAAAATTGCCATTGATGGGAAATTTTTGATGTATAAAGTATCGGCAAGTGAATGATTATTTAATGATCGTCGTGCAACTAAACGATCGCTGTATTTCGTCATATCCAGTAACAACTAAATAATATTTGAAAACTATTGAAATTAAGCGAATATTTTTGAGAAGCAATTTAATTCAAATATTCAAGTATTATATTCAAATTCAAATATTCAAATATTATGAGAAGATTCAAATATTATAGTTATTGATTTGTGACAAAGTTTAAAATGATTTAATTCTTTGCATAGGTTTTTTTCGATATTCTTTATTTCACACTTAATGTTAATTACATGGCATTAAACATGTGTAATTAATTAAAGTTCTTTGGGTGGCTAATTAAATCAACTAAATTAAGTTCACACCTTTTCCTTCTTTTTTTTTTGCAGAAAAATATAAATTAAGAATTCAAACCTTGAAGGTTATTAATAAATAATATATTTGCAATAATATAAATTAAAAATTCAAACTTTAGATAAGTTGCTAATATTAAATAATATTATTTGAAATTATCAAATAATAAAGCTTCCTACTTTTAAAGCTTAAATTTTTTCTTTAAAGCATGAATTATGTGAATTAAACTTGAACTAAAATGAATTTGATTGAATTAAATCAAAATTAAATTGAACTTAAAATAACTTGAATTAGCTTGAATGAACTTTTCAAGTTTGAATTTCCTTACTTCAGCACCAATAAGTGATCCATTCCCTTCCTCAAATATTATCACCAATAATGGCACAGATTCATTCAGATTATTCCATAATTCATTGTATTTTTGATTACTGTAATAAATTTCATTGCAAATTTTGTTAAATTTAGTTAATTAATAATTAAATTTCCAATTTAATTATTGAATTTTTCCAATTTAATTAATCAATAATTAACTTCCAATTTTTAATTATTAAGAAAAGAATGAAATTTTTTCGTTACTTTTTTAAAAAATCAAAATTAGGCCAATTAGGTGATCGATTGATGCTATAATCGAGTAGAATCATTTGAGTAATTAAATCACGCATTTCACGAACTGAATGTAACGCTTCTATTGGTGTACCATATTTTGGACTGGTTGAATTACGCGGAAAATACTGCAAACGATTAATTTCTCTCTATGCTTTAGAAATTAACTCTACCGTAATTAAAGTAATACAATAAAATTAAGTAGAGTGAAAAAATTTTCTGTCCAAATTTATTTTTTTTCCAATTTTAATTGCTAATTATAAAGTACATAGTAATTATATTATGCACTATGACCTCTTGAAAAAATAATGATATATAACAATGTAAAAAAAAACTACCTTGATATATGGGAAAAAGAAGACATTGTTTACTTTACAAGTAATTTCGTTAAGTGGATCAGCACAATTGACGGCAGCTATTCGAACTATTTTATTCCAACCACGAATATCACGAGCTAACGATTTGTATGTTTGAGCATATGACCGACAATGTCCACACCAATCTAAGTAAAACTGAAAAATTAATTGTTTTGATTTTTTTATTTCAAAAAATAATTTTAGTAATTTTTAGTAAATTTCAAAAATGGCTAATTGAAATAAATTTATACAAATACCGAAAGACTTCAAATTGTTAAATATTTCTTATTTTGAATTCAATTTACTTCATTACTGAAATTTAAATCGATCATATTTTTTCAATGTTATTTTCAATAATAAACAAATTAAACTAATTGAATTTATTAAACTCAAATTGCTAAAACAATATAATAATTATTATATCATTCAAATAATTACAGTAATAACTTTCATCTGTATCACAATTTTTTGCGCAGCAATTTTCTCCTAATTATTATCATTTAAATTTCGCTCACTTTAGCATTTAAATTTCACTTATCTTTAATATTAATTCAATTCTTTAAATGCTTAATTAGCAAAATTACTTAAACAATATTGCAATAAATGTTTAATTGTTGTGTATCACATGAAATTTGATATGAATTATTGATTTAAATGAATTAACAAATTTAAATGAAATCTTGCTGTATTCAAAAAATAAGAAGTACATTTTATCTAATAACTTAGCAATAGCACTGTTAAAATTAAATTTGCATTTTTGCTGGACAAAAAGAAAATCTGAAATTTTGCTAAATAAAATCACAAAGAAAAATGTTCATGAAATTAATCAATAGTGCTATTATTTAACATTACTATGGTAGTATCTGTTGAAACCTTTTTTTATTGTCTATATTTTTTCGTTAATTTATGAAAGATTCTAATTAAAAACTTGCTTCGACAACATAAGCAGCACAATCATTATCATTATCAGATGATAATGGTTGTTTGCAGAAGACTGTATCGTTAAATGTCATATCATCAAGTTGTATGATTAAATCAGTTCTTGAATCATATAACGTTGGATTAATTGCGGTTGGTTGCCGACCCAAAAATGCAAATTCGCTATATGCGAATTTTCCAAAAATATTGCATAATAATACTAATAATAAAGCATTGAATGGCAAAAACATTCTGAAATATAAAATTAAAATTTAACTAAAATTAAATTTATTCACAAATTTCCAAGAAAAACGGAATTATATATGTGAATAATAGAATAGTATAAAACAATGTTAATAATTAATTTTAATCAATTAAAAGAAAAAATATATAATTATTAACTAATAACTTATTTTAACTATTATAAACAAATATAACTATTATAAACAAAATAGTTCTAACAATAATAATAGTTTTAACCGTTATAAACAAAATAGTCATTCATTGAACTAAAATTTATTTTCTAAAAATTAAAAAATAAACAGTGTATTATATTTTCTAATAAATTAATTGAATTTTTTTTTTTTGTCTTGAATTAATTTAATTTATTAAGTATTAATATATTACGGAAAAATAAACTATAGCATCCTTTTTTTTTGCATTAATTATTTCATTTTAATTAACACATTTTTCTTCTATCAAATTAAATTAAATTAAAATAACTTAATCAAATGTAAAAATATCACCGATAAACATGCTAGAATAAATACAATCGATATGCTAAAATTACCTAATTGTTGCTAAACTTAAAAAAAATGATAAATGCAATTTTAGGAAAACAATATTTCCAACATATTTCAATATTGCTAAATGTATTATAGCCATTTCTCCCATTAATACAATTAATTTTATATACAACAAATTTTTGTTTAATTTTAATTGATTGAAAATTTTTTGTTTGTTGTTGTTTTTTTTTTTTAACTGAAATAAATTTGAACGATAGCTGTTAAGAATTAGGTGACACCTTCCTTGTCGTAAAACGAACACTTTTACCGTTCTATTTACTTTTAAATGATGTAAGAAATGTAAAACTATGAGGAAGTTTTGAAAGTGAACAAGTTTTTAATGGTAGCATTATGAAAAAAAAGTGTAAAGAAGTATTTGTAATGAATGTGAAGCATTAAATTTTGACCTATTGAAGATCGTTAAATAAAATTGACAGTTGAAGCTTAAAATTTGATAACATATTAAGTGTAAAAATTTTCGAAAACAGGAAAGATTGAAATAATACTAATAATAATTATAATAATAATAACAATAATAATAATAATAATGATAATAATAATAATAGCAATAATTATAATAATAATAGCAATAATTATAATAATAACAATAATAATAACAATAATAATAACAATAATAATAATGATAATAATAATAGTAACAATAATAATAATAATTATAATAATGATAATAATAATAATAATAATAATAATGATGATAATAATAATAGTAATAAATAATAATAAACACTAGTAACGATGATAACAATTAATAATAGTATTCATGATATTTGATAATAACAACGGCAATAATAACAATAAATGAATAAATGAACGACTAAAAACAATAGTGATAAATAATATCGGAAACGATCAAATATCAATGTAAGAATTTGAATATAAATTAGAATAGAATTAAATGCAAAAATGAGGTAATTACAGTAACACGAAGTAATAACATAACAAATCGAAAAATGTTTAAATAATAATTTTATCCACCGAAAATTTAGGTTACTTCAGATTAATTGCTATCCCAAAATGTTCATTATTAATGGTACTATCTGATTTCTTTCAACTTTTCAAAAAAGAGGAAAAACGAGGAAAGGAATAAAAAAAGTTCTGAGAAATTTTTCCTATCGTAAGAATGAATTGAATTGAAAAATTTAATTGTTTATAAAATAAAAGCAAAATAATTGCCATTAATTCAGTATGAAAAACCAGTCTTATTTAGTTCTATCATTTAATTTGAAATAAAACTAAAAAACAATTTCATTTTTTTTTTGCAGGTGTAAAAAATTCAGAAATTATTTATTAACATTTAATATTTGGGTTAACGAAGAAACGAAGAAAATTATTTTTGAAATGGACTAAATTACTGATTAATGATTCTGAATCTTATTTTTGTTTAATTAAATTAGGCACAATAATACAAGTAAAACAAAAAAGGAAAAATAAAATTTTAAAATGATTCGATTTTTTTGAAAATAAGATTTGCTTCCTTGTTAATTAATTTAAAATAATTAAAATCAATTTTTCTCTTTCGAAAATAATTTATTTTCCCTAAGACTTTGTGTGAATTTTCATTAACTCAAAAAAAAATAAATTTTAATTAGCTCAAAGAGAAATATTGCAAAAAACTAATTGGACTGAAAATGGTAAAATATGGTAAGTCTGAAATTTAAAATAAAATTTATTTTTGGGATGAAAGATGAAAAATTCAAAATGATGAAGAAGATTAATTAAATTAATTAATTAAATTATATCAAAAAAAAATTTTAAATTAAAAGAAATCATTTTTTTAGACATATTATTTAATGAAAGTTTTAATCTTTCAAATAATTAAAAAAAGATGAGATTTGTTAATTTTAATTTCTTAGAAAGCGATACAGTATTTTAGATATATTTCAATAGAAATATACTTTTTATCGATTCTTCAAAAAATAATTTAAAATGATCGAAATGAACGAAATCATTTCTCGCACATATCATTGATAGCATTGTAATTAAGTGTTAACAAAATCATTATTAAATAGAAATTGTGAAGATGATGGCATATCATTTTAAATACATGTATCATTGGTATTATTGTAATTATATGTTAACAAATATTATTATTAAAATAGAAATTGTTAGGATATGAACTGATAAGGCAAAAGATAACAGAAATATTTTATTTCGCTCATTTCACTTACTGATAATAATCGTTGAAATAATTGTGATATCATTTTTGTTTTCACATTCTTCTTATCAGCAAAAAAAAAAAGAAATAGTTAAAGTTAAAGAAAAGGAAAGTTAATTCGATGAAGGAATTATGTTTAAAATTTTCCGGAAAAGAAAAACGGAAAATTTCTTCGATAGAATTTTAACGGAAGAATGGAAGAAAGATTTGAATGAAATATTTTGAGTAATGAAATATTTTGTTAAAAACAGAGAAGATAAAATATCTTCGAAGATAAGCGAACATTAAAATTTGAAATTGAAAAATGAATCATTCGTTTATCTTTCTTTTTGATATCTTTCCGACTTTTCTTTCCTTTTCTTTATTTACTTTTTAAACAATTAGATATTAATGAATCATCTTTTTGAATAAATTAAATATTGATGAATCATCAGATATTAAGCTAATTTCATCTATTAAATATTTTGATAACATAGCGATATCATTTGAGTTCATTTTTTATCGATTACTTTCATGTTAAAATAATTAATTTGAGGATATTTAATTAGCAATTAGTTCAACAAATTTTAAATGGATTAATAGAATTATCTGCTATATTATTCTCAAAATATAAATTCAAATATTATTAATTATATATATTATATGCATGGTTAAGGAAATGAATTACTATAATTATTTCCATCTATTTCAATAATTTTTTGTATTGCATAAATATTTGAAATATTATCAAATTTGCTTAATTACAATAAAAATAATTATTTTTAAATAGGAATGCTGAATAAGGATATCAATAATGATTTATTTCATTATATTAAATAATATAATATATTAAAACTAAACATTCTTAATTCTATTATATACATTATAAATTCTTAATTCCTAATTTCATTATATACATTATATGTTCTTAATTCTTAATTCCATTATACATGTTATATATTCCTAATTGATCCTTAATTCCATTATATGCATTACAGGTTCTTAATTAATTCCTGATTCCATTATATATATCTAATTCTTTCATTATATATATTATATAGTCCTAATTCTTAATTCCATTATATATATATATATTATACATTCTTAGTTCTTAATTCAATCATATACATTAAGTAATATTTGCATTAATATATTTTATTCCTACCAAACATTTTTGATTTATTTTATTTTTAGGATAATAACATTTTGCAAATAATTAATAATTATCAATCAATAATTAATTAGCAACTGAAATTTATCGCAGAATTGATATATTTTTCAAAATTTAGAAAATCAAAATACATCAAAATCCCATCACTTTTAATATTGCGAAAAAAAATAATAATAAAGAAATTCCAATTATCGACTGAATTCATTCGTTATTCTCTATAATTTAAATAATTAACAAATTTTTTAATTATCGATTAAAATCATTCATTGTTCTATTAAATTGTAATTAATCAAAAAAGTTAAAATTAAAATTCAAATTAATGAAAAATTTTCCAATCATCAGTTTATTCTTTTATTAAATTTTAATTAATGAAGCAATTATTAATTAAAAGTTAAAATTACCTATTATTCTATTAAATTAAAAAAATTCCAAACTTTTTAATCTTTCATTTTCTCATGTCTGATCGCTTGCAAAACATATACACAAACATATGCCATAATAATTCGATGTAAGGAAAAAATTATGTAAACAGGAAGTTAATAATAGGAAAAAACCGGAAGAGTATAAGAGAGAGAAAACGGATTTACATTGAATGAATGATGGCGGTAAATCATCTATAATCCGTAAATTGCATAAAAATTTTCAATAATAAAGTGAAAGTTGTCTAGTCATGGATAAATATTATTGTTTTTGTTGAAGAAGCAAAAATGAAAATTTGAATAAAATTTCGTTTTCAAAAATTGCTTATGAAATTTAACTATTCCTTATCAATTATAAAGTTAAATTAATTTTTAATAGTTAAGTTTTATATTAAATGATAGATAAACTATAACAACTCTGAAGTTAAATTACTTTTTAATAGTTAAGTTTTATATTAAATGATATATTTCAATTTATAATTATTAATATAATAAATTCTTATTAAACTTTTTTGCTTTTCTTTTTTTCCTGAAATTGTTTTTTTAAAAAAATAATAATACAATTTCATATCGTTATGTGCAATGTTTACGAATTAAACTATATTATAAGGCATAAGTTAAAGTATGATAAAGTGAAGTAACAAAGTTTTAAAATAGAATAGGAAATTCTATTAGTACTAATTTCAAGTATTCCATATATTCATTATCAAAGATTAAAAAT